TTTTTGAAATGTCGACAGCAAGCTCTCGTGATCTTAAAAATTAACATAGGAAGCAGTAAAGTGCGGAACAAACAGCCAATCTAAGTCATTGTATATGAAAGAAGAGCGTTCGTGCGCATTTAACACAACACATTATTGAGATTTTTAACTCTCTTGCAAATGCGAAAACTGAAATAAAAAATCATGAGGTTAAAAACTGAAACTTGCTAAAGTTTTCTTTAGTATAACTACTTCCAGAGAGACCAAACAAATCAAATTCTTTTTTATATGCCATAATATTCATGAGCTTATATCTCATATCTCATTATCTCATGATATAAATAATTAATTTATCAATATCTATCGTCATATACTTATTTTCCAACACATTAAAGGAATAAAAAAATATTGGTATTTGAAGAGATCAAATTTTATGTACTTATTTTTAACTCATGCAATATATTCCCATTTCTGCTTAGATGCATCTATATATCGAATGACGTTTTATCCATTATTACTTACGCTATCAACATTTTTTAAAGAGATTTAGATTTTTTATAGGGCCATCAAATAAGTATCTATTTTTAATTTGTATTAAAAACTAAACAGTAAAAGAGATCAACAAGAATTTCTTTTATACCCTACACCACTTGCGGTGCGGAGTATATTACGTTTGTACAGACGTATGTAATATCGCCAAAACATCGTAAAAGCAGTTGACATTTCGGACATCGCATGTTATCGTAAAATTTAGCAATAACGGTATCGTACTCAGCTTGTTGAGCATTACGAGCTTCGATCTCTTCGCGGGTCATACGCTCAGGAGGCACTAACGGTTTGGGATGTTTACGACATTGAGGATGGCAACTCAAAACTTGACGGCTCTTTAAAGATGTCTGTGAACATTCAGAGACGGTTGAAATTCATGACTAAATTTACGGTCAGGCAAAATATTCCTACCTATAAAAACAATTTTGCAACAATAGAACTAAGGGAATTGAGCGGCACGATAAATCGTTTTCGTTTGACGGGACCTCTAGCTCAAAGTGTTTTAGCCATGCTTTTAAAGTGAAAGATTTCGATCATTTAATAAATGCGAAAAAAACGTGGGTGGGAGATTTGTAAGAAGAGCAAACATTTCTTGATATTTACAAGCAGCAACAGCAATATTGGGAAAAATGCCAGAAACTTTTAACGTCTCCATCACTATTATTATCTAACATGGTGTTGGCGTTGTATATTGAAGATCCTCGTCGGCATCGCCCAAAAAAGCGTACCAAAGCCATTATTAAAACAAAATCCGATTATAACGAAGATCTTGAAGAACTTTTAGTTGATATGCCTTCTGCTCTAAGTGAATCTTCTTTATGGGAACAACGCATACGGGATCATGTATCCAATGAAATGGTAACATCTCATTCCCATTATGGATTAAGGGGAAAGCAAGCTATTGTTCCGGGGCAACCCCGCCAATTCGAGGATGCATTGCAACCTATTCCAGTTTTATGGATTCAACGCCCAGGTTTCCAGTGTAGTAACTTCGTACGTCATGGTTATGGTTGTGGCTGGGATGTTATTGCCCCAGCTGGTTATGGTTTACATATATGGTTGTCTTGTATCATGTGGGGTGCTCGACCAGGAGGATTAAGAGAGTTCGAAACAATAGGCCGAGAAATGGGCATTGAACAACATTCACCGGATACTATTAGTGGTAAGTATATATAGACTACATGCAATATAGATTGCAAGGATTAATTTTCTTCATTATAGGTACGCAAATGGCTGCCGAACGGTACGTAGAGTTGCGTGATAAATATTTTCGTTTGCCACCCAACAAAGGCGTCAGCTATCGAAAATTGTCCATTCTGTCACTATTTCGTGCACCTTTCTCAGAGTTAGTGCGTGATTGGAAATCGGATACCACCAATGCGAACGACTTCTACGTCTTACGAGATCGTTCTAAACTTACAGATATTGTTGAATGTATTAAAAGATCAAATCCGGCGAAATTCCCGTCAAGCCTAAAATCGGAATGCCTAATTCAATTAAGATTAAGCGTGAAACGTCGAGGAAGTCCAAATAATTTTTCTTTAATCTGTTTACCTATAAGAAACAATTTTAAACGCAACTTAAAACACATCTCTTTACGTAGTAATGACCCCGTCTTCACAGAGCCTTTGTTGTCGGACCCCAATGAAAAGGAACGCAAGAAATTTCGATTGCAACATAAAAAGCTATTAAAGCGTTTAAGAGCTCGAAGGATTAGAGAGAAGCGTAAAAAACAGGTTTGCAAAAATTAATAGCAATTGAATCCATAACTAACTATTTCTACTTTTCCATATACAGGAGATAAGCAATACCAAAGTATACATACGTTCCGCTGGGACGGCTGCAATTTGTGCTGCACAATTTAAGAAAATATGCGAATTGTGGCTTTCTGAAGATACTTCCACATTACATAAACAAGGATGTCGAGACGTTTTTGGTTATCTTACCTCTGTGAATTTCTGCCTAAGCGGAGGTACAGGTATAGGATATGTAACGGCAGAGGGACTAAAAAGGTTGCTTAAATTTTGTCAGAAATGTCATCTAAAGGAGCCAATGTGCTTAGTACGTGCAAACAATAGTAAATTTAGATGTTTGGTGATTTCGACTATCTCGTTAAGTTTGGCAGGACAGACCGAGTGTCAATGAAAAAAGAAAAAAATATAATATTTTTATTTACCTACACCTGATCGAAAATTCGCTCTTTGCCAGATCTCTAAAAATTTACTAGAACTAGTCAGGAAACGTTCAAGGGGAGATAAATGTTCTTTTTTATACAATTATATATATATAAGATTATATATCATATAAAACCACTTGTACGAATATATCGAAGAATTAACAGAAAATATTCAAAAATATGAGCAAATCGAACGCCAGGTCTCTAAAAATTTACTAAAATTAGCCTCTTCGTTGCTTTAAGATGTCGCGGAAATAATGTGTGCACAAGTAGCTGAGTAGTGAGAAGCTGAAGAAAGCTTTTAAAAAATTAGACTGAAATAACTGATCATAAAGATTGCAAATTGTATAACATATTTCCTAATTGCTTTCCAATAACGGTTGCCATTTAAAGTTTAGAAAAACTTTTTGTTTTATTTTTTTTCTCTTTTTAAGATATGAAAATATATTTAATTAATAAATAAAATTGAATTTCAAAATTACAACAAATCTTGAATTTGTTTAACGGCTTTCCCTACATACATAATGTAAATGCGATTACCGCAAGGAATTCGGTCAAAAACCGTTGCACTAGCGAACGAAAGCAAAAAACAAGAGGATAAATCAAGGCGAATTGATGGAAACAGTTACAGCAATGAAGATCATAGAGATATCAATAGCAATACACAACACAGTAGTGCAGTAGCAACTAAGCAAATGAAGTGTAGAAATTTCCTACAACATGAAGCTGTTAAATTAGAAGAAACAAAAGTATGCAAATAAGAACAACAAAGCCAAAAATTTAATTATATAAACGAACAAAAAAAAAAGAAAAATTTGTGAGAATAAAAGTAAAAATTAAAATCGAAAAGTGAACGATCTTTCGTCGATGCGACAAGGCTCAATTAAAAGCAAGTCACCTGCTACACTTATACTTGCATCTCCATATACTTCAACAAAATCATTTAAAATTTGGAAACAATTTATATAACAAAACCCAAAGCAACTATCGCAAAATTTTATCGAAAAAGAAAAGTCTAAAAAAGGAAAAAAAAATCCAAAACCGACGCGTGTATTTTATCGGCTCAGACCTTGCCGGTTTATGTCGGTTTATTATTTAGGTGGTGATTATGCATTGCGGCCGACTCGATGGCACAAGCCTGACGAATGGTTAAGCTTGCATAATTGATAACATTCTTTTGATACGCTGACACCAAGAAAAATTTACGTTTACATTTGATTGGTACTATCTCAGCTCGAAATACATCTTCTAAGCATTCCGAATTGGATTCGTTGTCAACAGCGACTGCGTACTGAAAATATATTCCAATTGTCTTATAGAGTGCATTGTAAAATATACTAAACATAATTGTCAAAAGAAAAACAAAAGATAATGCCTTCCATTTGGACGTAGACTTTATGCATATCGTTTCTACCACTTTCCCAAAGTAAATTTAAATTTATTGAATACTGAAATTATTTGTTAATACAATAAATAAAAGATTATAAAAATAAAATAAGTGAAAAGGGAATCGATATTCAGCTGTGACCGAATCTTTCACGCCCATTACCTTTTTACTAACAAACTCTTCAAAGAGTTGAAAAGATGACACTTTGATAATTTATAATGCCAGTTTTTGGCTATTCTTGTACTACTACTGTGGGATCACCAATTGAATATATATGGAAATTTTTAATTGAACTCTTTTGGAAAAAGAAGTGTTTTTAATTCAGGACCTTTGCAAGGTCTTTGCCAAATTAGAATTCTATATGTTATCATTCCCGTCCAGGAGGTGGACAAACGATAGGCAGACAAGGAAACCTGCCTAAATCGACTAAATATTTTATACTGAGCAAAAACATATTTACTTTTTGGCAGAGTGAATCTGTCTCACTCGGAGGTGGTAGTGGGTTTTTATATTTAATTTAAGATTTTCAAAATTTAATAATAAATTTAGAAAAATTTAATAATAAATTTTTCTAAACTTTTTAAAATGCAGTGAAAAAATTTGCAATTATTATCCACTTTGCTGCAGATCCGCTAAAATTAATTGAGGTCCGCCAATATAAATTAAGTAGTTGAAAAACGTCTCTCTTTGGGCATGAAATTATTCTCAATTGTAAACAAATGCAGACTAACCTTTTCAATATTTTCTCAGATGTGACCAAATTCGGACACGCTCAGTTAATTATTCTCAGATGTAACCAAATTCGGACTCGCTCCTTCAATTATTCTCAATTGTAAACAAATGCAGATTAACTTTTTCGATTATTCTTAATTGTAAACAAATGCAGACTAACTTTTTCAATATTTTCTCATATGTGACCACAGTTAATTACGCTCGGTTAATTACTCTCAGATGTTACCAAATTCGGACGGCCTCTTTGAATTATTCTCAAATGTGACCGAGTTCGGACTCGTTTTTTCAATTATTCTCAATTATAAAAGTTATCTTCGGTCGGCGCCTACTTGTTTTGTTAAAAATTATAATGTAACAGCGTGGTAGGAAGACAGAATAAACTTTAGCAAAAGTTAGCGGAGACACCAGCCACTAGTACCTTCTTTTAGCGCGAGAGAGCATAGCACTAGCACCAATTTGTACTCTACATTTAATCGGCGCGCACAACATAAAAAAAAAAATAAAAATCCGAGTGTTTATTAGTGTAGAAATAAACACAAGAATCGATCGTAATGTGCTAAATGAAATAAGATGGCAAAAATTTAGTTAACGAAATATAACGCGAATTGAAGGTTTCATGTAAAAAAGTCACATGAAACATTAACATTTCAATTGATTTCATAAACTACCAAGGGTGCGTAAGTAAAACAGTTTTATTCTTATTGTAAAAGAGAGAAGGAGAAGAGGGAAAAACTTTTCTGTATTTCACTACGTAATCTAAAATCACTGCCCGAGGTTGTTACACGCCTACTGGAACTACAGACGGCACTTGAGACCTTCACCAGACAACGATCGCCCTCTCCAGCATCTCACGCGAGAAATGTACCCGACGAGCTACCAACGAACGAGAAGGGATCGTTACACTTTGCACGTACCAGCGACGATGCCGGGGCCGAACAGCAAAATGGCACCTACATTCTACTCCAATATTTCGGCACCAGTCAACAACACCAGCGAAATCACCCAGCTTGCCGCCGCCATTGGCGGAGCCCACCTAGTTTTCCCGACAACGGTCGACACTAGACCCGTCATTGAAGTAGTCCGAAGATGGGGGCTCATCTTTACCAGCAATAGAGAGCCACTTATCTTCATCAAGCGGGTCGAAGAGCTAGCATACAGCGTCGGCAAGGATCGTTTGCTAGCCACGATGGTGGAGATGCTACGCGACCGAGAGTTAACCTAGTACCGCAACAACAACAAATGGTGGATAGCCTGGAAGAAATTCAAGGCCTAGTTTTTGAGGTTCTTCTTACCATCGCGATATCTCACCCGACTCGCCGATGACGTCCGCCGACGCATTCAGCGACTATGTGCTGGCTTTGCAAGACCTGATACGCCATACCACGGTGACGGAAGACCAAAATTTAGGCCGCATCTATATGAATGCGCAGTCCGATTACCTGTGGTACAGAGGACATCGAAGCTTCACCCATTTAGCCGTAATAATGGAACTCGCCTTTGGAGGCTATCCCGACGGGCAATACGTCACGGGAAGCTCCCAGAGAAGTATACCGAGAATTTCAGCCAAGTACTCGTCGACCCGATCCGCCGTGTGCACCGGATATAATGCCGCAGGAGAGGCGAATAAATACGGCGACGATGTGCCGACGATGTGTTCAGAGCGGAAACCTTCAGTATAATTGCCCGAACGCACAGGTCTTGCACTTCTAGATCTGCGGCCGACGAGGGGTACGAACCATTAACCGCTGCCAACAGGGAAACTACCGGGGAGCCCACTACCAGCGAAGGGATCCAAGCGGACCACGAGATGAACCTGCTTCGCGAACAGCAGTATCTCCCAGCCTAGCGAATGCACCCTGCCCAAAACGCGGAAAGGTACAAGACAGTTCCACTGTGAAACAAAGGCCAAGTCCCATGCCGCCAAGTCGGCGGAACCACCGTACATCGACTCTCTGTAACGAGACCCACGATATAGCAAATATTGATATTATCTTCTTTAGAAACCCCACTACGCAGCGATACGAAGCAGAGCCCTGAAGTCCACCGAAATCTCCACCTGCCATGCAACGAAGCTCGTAAGGATATAAATGCATCATCTGAGCCTTCAACCAGTCGTCCTCAGCGAAGTCAACGGCGCCATACCTCAAACTCATCACAGGATCTCTCACATATAGGATCAAGTCAACAAATTGCGAGCCCAATAACGGCCAACGTTGACACACGACCAGTATATTTACTTGGTCGTAAAGTAGATTGAAGCTCCATTCTTGATATATTCTACAACTTTCTTTTAAAATTTAATCGTCAGCGTGCGTACCCGCCATGCCTCTCATTACTTGTAATCAATTTTTCATGTTTTTCATTCAAATTTCCATATCCTCCTCATTGATTTGTAATCACTTTGTAACGGCCGCGAACAAACCTTGGGTAGGGTGTCGGTCGGTCTGTATCAACCGCAAGTAGCGGAATAACGGCATGCCGTTAGACAAAATCATGCGATTTTGTGGTACTGCTTATAAATCACATGATCTTGCGGGATATGTTTGTTTTATTCTTTTCCGTTTTCCTTGTTTACAAGTACAGGCAAAACCGTATGATTTTGCGGTATTCCTTTTTTTTCCTTTTGCTTTTGCAAGCACCGGCAGAATCGTATGATTTTGTGGTATCCCTTTTTTTTCCTTTGCTTTTGCAAGAGTAGGCAAAAATCGTATGGTTTTGCGGGATCTTTGCTTGCTTTTGTGAGAGTAGCGGCAAGCCGCTATAGAGAGAGCAACAGGAAGAAGAAGAGGGAAATTGAGTAGGAATGAAAAGTCTGTCTGTTTTTTAATTTGAAGATAGAGGGGAGAACAACTTGGCCTCTGGTGGAGTGCGGACGTGTCCGCGAGTTGTGAAAGTTATTGTTGACTTCAGTCTTTAATAAATAGAAATTTAAACGTTTTTTGCGAGCCAAAAAGAAAAAAAATGCTCCACTTTAAAGAAGAAAATATCCTAAATATATATTGAGTGAGATTTAACAGAAAAATTCATCCAAATTCTGGATCGGATAATAGCAATAAAAATTGTGGACTTGTCACCTTTTGATAATTAATTCAATGATTTCTTTTATCTGAATATCAAAAAAAAAAAAAAAAACAGAAAGAAAGAATCTAAAGGAAAGTTCTATGATAGCCATTTTGCTCGTAAAACAAAAAGGAAGCGAAATACTGAGGAATAAAGAAACCTTTTTTTTTTTGTTTCAAATGAAAGAAATAAGAAAAAGAAAATGGTTTAAACATTATTTTAATATAAGTGTTTTGTAAAAGTTTTATTAAAGAAAAAAAAAGAAAAAAAGGTAACAAGAAGAAAACAAAGAAAAAGAAAGGGTGGAACAATTAAGAGAAGCACAGGAGGAGGAAGAAGAAGCAAGTCAAGAATAATGGCTGCACCGTTTTTTTCTCAATACGAAATTTTTCGTTAAACAAGAAGCAAGAAGAATTTATTGTTTTTGTCAAGTGAATAATGTAAAGAAATTATTGGTAAAAGAGGACATTTATAAACAAATGGTCGTGTAATTCTTTATTAATTTTTTTAATTTTTAAATTGTTGATTTCCATAAGAGATTCTTACCAGAATAAAAGTTCAACGGTAAACATTAAATGTCAAAAAGAAAAAGTTGATAAAAATATCGCATCAATTAACTGCAAAAGATTGATGGAAAAAAAGGGATTTCACTTTGTACAAAATCTCAGAAAATTCCAAAGCGTCAATGAATCAGTTTGTCATGTGTAAGAGAAAAATACCTTCCTATATAAAAAGGCTGCTAAAAGCAAAAGTCGTGCAAAAATTTCTTAAACATTGTTATTGTAAACTTGACGCTTTTTAGTTTTTAGTCATTACTTGTTGAAAGAAAAAAAATAAAATAGAAAAAAAAAACGAAAAAAAAACAAATCAATGTGTTTACTTCAATCAAGATGAATTTTGGAGCTATTAAACAATAATAAAGGTGAAACTAAGAACATTGGTGTTGTGTAACAATAACGGAGAAGTTATGCTGCACAAATCATCACTGTCCTTTTCCAACATTACGTCTGTCGGTGGGGACAATAACAACTGTGGCGTTTGGATGGAAGCTGTTATTTGCGATCAACGATACCCACAAATATTTGCTACTAAGTCAGGTAACGCCGACTAAAAATCCTACTATCCGTGGAGAAAATCATCATTAAGAAGTTCATCGGAACAAACGACGACACCAATTGCACCAAGTATTGTAAGTTAACTAGTACCTTTAGTTCCTTTCTTCTGTTGTTCACGATGTGTGGCTAAGCGCGAGCCGCCACCGCTGTAGCTGAGAAAAGGGGGGTGTGCATATGATGGCACCGTAGGGAGGACTTCAGACGATGACAGACGGACTCACCGTGGACAGACGTACGATAGACTACCGACGAGACTATTCCTGTTTTTTTTAGTATTCTTTGTCATGAGGCTCAGAGAGCCAAACCCCATTCAATAAGTACGCTCTACCGGCAACAAAGGGGCTAGTACCGTGACAACTTTTAGATAAAAAAATATTTGAGCAGTTGATATATTCTACAAATTTATTTTAAAATTTAATCGTCAGCGTGCGTACCCCCCGTGCCCCTCATTACTTGTAATCAATTTTTCATGTTTTTCATTCAAATTTCCATACCCTTCTCATTGATTTGTAATCAATTTCAGTCAAAAATATTTGAGTAGCAAGAAAAAGACCGGTAAAATATATTTACTTGATCATAAAGTAGATTGAAGCTCCGTTCACTTGATATATTCTACAAATTTATTATAAAATTTAATCGTCAGCGTTCGGACCCCCCCATGCCCCTCATTACTTGTAATCAATTTTTCATGTTTTTCATCCAAATTTCCATACCCTCCTCATTGATTTGTAATCAATTTCAGTCAAAAATATTTGAGCAGCAAGAAAAAGACGGGTAAAATATATTTACTTGATCATAGATTGAAGCTCCATTCACTTGATATATTCTACAAATTTATTTTAAAATTTAATCGCCAGCGTGCGTACCCCCCATGCCCCTCATTACATGTAATCAATTTTTCATGATTTTCATTCAAATTTCCATATCTCCTCATTGATTTGAAAATGAAGCACAGCTGAATTGAAATTTGGCTCTACCTTTACTAACTGTTTTGGCTTCTTTTAAGCCATCAATATTAAAATTTTTAAGATATTGATTAAAAAAAACATCAGAAGAGATAGTAATGCGTTGGCCCTCAGCATTTTCACGGTTGTCAACAAATACAAAGAAATTACACTGCGTAGTATAGTCACATCAGTTAGTTTCTATAATAACCTGATCAGACCCTGTCTCTATAGAGAACCAGACTGATGTTGTATTAGCTACGGATTCTATCCCGGGGAAAACTTACCAAAAATCCAGAATTAAAAGAAAAAAAATAAAACATTTTAATATATGAAAAAAAAGCGAATTTACGAGATAGTAATTTAAAACATAAATATAATTTTTCACTTGGAAAACAAATCACTAAAGATTTATATCAAATGTTATTAGTTTTTATTTTAGCTTATTTGCTTCAAATAAAAATAAGTTTCTTTCTGTCATTGTGAATTCAGCTTTATTTAATATTAAGGTAACGTTGTGCTTTGGTCATAATAGAACGTATTTTACAATTTAACTGAAGAAATGCTTTGTACTAAATACCTCTCTCCAGCTAGATTTTTTTGCTTGTTTATTTACTAGTTGATTGCGATAAGTGTAGTACAAGCAGAAATATAAATAAACCCTTACAGCAGATAAGCTACTATCCTATGGCAAATATTAAAATCTCGAATACACATTTATACATATCGTAAGAAGGAGCGACTGAGACGTACTTTGTCTACATGCACGGCTATCTGCGGCCTACCGTTATTTGTCGGACCCTGAAAGAGCACGGTGTTCGGAGCATTAAACCAAATGAGATTCTCAAGGATACTTAACCTGAAGGACTAAGATCTTGATCGAGTACAATAGACGTTGCAGATCGCGTTATGCATTTCTCACGAGTAACAGGACGGTGTAATATGGCATAACATGAAAAGCAAATAGATGCGAAAAATTGATACATTATATTGTATGACTTAAACCCACACTAATCGCAGGAAGGAATTTGTCAAGCAAAATTGAAAATATCGAAGAATATGCAACTACCTACTTTGCTTAGGCGGGTCGCTGCAAGCTACGATCTATAACAAAAGGGATTTTCCTAAAGGTAGGAAAAATAATCGGTAACCGCTGCGTAGACGTGCGGACAATTTTTTTGAGCTATAGCAATAAAAGCGTTCTTGGTACCTACCTTAAAAGCAAAAGCAGCTGAAACTTTATTCCGACAAATGCCCCTAACGCTCTAATATTATTTTCATTTTTTCTGGCTTGAAAAAATAACCCCGCTCTTCCAAAGGTATGGCATAAAAAGTCTCTTTATCAAAAATTTGAAAGCCTTTACAACGTTAGCGCAATTGTCTCAGTCTCTTACTTTTCGCATTACACGGGTTATAACACTGGGACCATTATTGCCCCGATTATTGCCTTTAAAATTTCTCTCAAATTCGAAAAGATGAGCGCATTGTGACTCAGCATTTGGCCTTTGCCATTAATTCGTATATTTCTCCACACCAGCATGGCTTTCGGAAAGGGCGATCTACGGTCACCAATTTGTTAGAGTTTACTCGTCACGTTTTCAAGGCTTTTTCTAGTGACTCTCGCACAGATGTAATATACACTGATTTAAGCAAAGCGTTTGATTTGGCTAACCATAACTTACTTATCTTTAAACTCCAAGCCTCTGCCTTCCCTTTTTATTTAGTGAAATGGATAAGCTCTTATCTGCACAATAGATCCTTCAGGGTTCTGCTTAACTTCATCACCATTCCCCGTGACGTCTGGCATACCTCAAGGCAGCCACTTAGGTTCCATTTTATTTAGTTTATACATTAATGATCTCCCATCGGTGATTAATTCCATCCAGATCTTAATGTTTGCTGATGATGTGAAACTGTTTTCTTCCTTCTCTCTAGAATCGCAATCACATCAACTTCAAAGTGACTTGAATAATTTGGTTGCATGGTGGTCTTTGAATCTTCTCAAACTAAATCTAAATAAATGTAAGAAGCTATTTTTCTCAAGAAGAAAGTTATTCATTACTCAGTTTTTCATTGATTCGCGCAAGTTGGAGGACGTTGATTCCTTCACATATTTAGAAGTTCTATTTGACCATAGA